TGTCAGAGCGGAAACTAAAACTCCCGAGGGCTAATCTCCGCTCCTCGCTATAAAGTTCTAAAAAGTTTCACTCTCGAGGCGGCAACTTTGCCGTCAACGGCACATTCTTAGAGATTTAAAAGGTTTGCATGGCGGATAAAGCGTGATCAGCTAAATTATACTAGTAATATGTATATGTATGTGCTCATAAAATCGATACTTGAGAAAATATCGCTTCGCTTGGTTACGCATTCGAAACTCCAGTTTTCCACTGGCTTACGCGGCGTTTATTCGCGAGAGAGTTCGGTGAGTCATAAATAATACCTCAACTAACGTTGTTATTATTTAGTCTCGTATGCAACAGTCGGTTTTTCAAGTTGGACTGTGCCATGCATTCTCACCCTTTCATAAACCATAAATAACGTAGCGTAACCATCAAAAGTGTTATTTCACTAAACTTTTATGACACGATGCGTTTGTAAATGTTATTGTATTATCTTCTATATTTAGAAAATAGATAAATTGATGAAAAATGTAAAAAGTGTTATAAAATTACCTACTTACTTTTCTTGAAAAAGATAGGTATATCTAAATATGAAATGGCAACTTAAAACGTGTTATTGATTACTACTGAGCAAATTTTAGAAATGAGAATGCGCACAATTATAGAACAAATGAAAATAATGCTTTCATTATTTTATTGCTCATACGTTTTTGTCAGTTATTTCTTTATATCTTTCCTATTTTTACTCTTTTAAATATAGTATAAATTGTGATACTTAATCTGATATTTCTAAAAATTCTGTTAGCACTGATAATGTTTTAAAATATATTAAGTTATTTCTTGTCACTTTTCTCGTAACATGTATGTGAGAAATAAAATATGGAACGTGATTATTATTATATTATTATTTAAATAAAATAATTAATTCTCGGTAGTAACAATATATTATGTTAATTCATACGTTATATATCTCTTAAGTACAAAAGATTTTTAATAATAGACAACATGAAAATCACATGAAGCAATATTGTTATTCAAGCCTTTAAGATCATAAATTATTAATGAAGTTTTTTCACTCTTTTTTGTAGTTCGTTTTTTGGATAATGTAGTGAACAAGCATGATAACTTTTATGGAAAAATACTATATTAGATTAGCGGAAAAACTACTGGAACGAATAGTGTATAATATTAAATACGAATGGTTTTCCAATTACTTTCAATCGCTTTTTCATAAATCCAATAGATTTTTCCATAAGAGAAGTGCAGTTTACTTAATTCCTCTACAGATCGATTTTTTAGATGTTTCATTAATAAACAGATCGACACGATTTAAGCTGCTTTGCGCAACTACGAATATCAATATCAAGCTGTCATTTATCACAACTGTGCACAGCAAAGATGTGCACCACGTGGATTCACGATAAGCTTGACTCATTTTCCAAACTTTACACAAGTGTGTGCTATATCATCGCCACGTACATTTTATAGTATACTGTCTTTAAAAAGAATACAAGAATTTATTGGTTCTAATTTTGCTAACTTTTTTATAATTTGAAAATTAGTAATTCAATTTATAAATAAATTATAAACGAGAATAGGCACACAATTTCATTAACTTTTTGTTTCCTCGCTTATTATTACAAACTGCAGATGATTTAAATAATTTTAAAATTATGTGTGTAAAATTAATGTGAGTACCGTGTAATAAAGAAAAAAAAATTTTGTAATAATTCGGAAATGTCTTACTCAGAAATTTAAAACGTAGTTACGCAAGATACTCTTGGCAAAAGTGAATAATTTCAATGTCTTTGATTCTATGATTTGCAAGTTATAAAATCTATGTTCGCGAAGAAGATGCAAACGTATGCGTATTAATCATCATAATTCCCATTCTTCGTACATTTTTATGATCTAACCGACGTAAGCATCAGTTAGTCCAGTCACGCACAAATTCAAGAGTCGTTCCTATTGAAAACGTTTGCATATTTTCTTCTTCTCGAAGAGAATGACTTGTTTGTATGCTTGTAAGAAAAATCAACACGAAGCGAACAATAGATTATCAATATAGAATAACGGTTATTTGTTGTTACCACTTTAATAGCCGCCGATAATAGTAAGTCATTGATATACTGTTATCGCCAATAATTTAGGAATGCTAATCTAGTGAGGCATTAATCCATTTACACAAATTTGCAATACTGAATAAGTTTTGTGCGCAAACTGTGATTGTTTTACGAGTCTTTATCAATGTCATGTTATAGATTAAATGCATTACAAATTAATCTTTGAGTTAATAAATGAATAAAATTGACTTTTCATAATAAATGCTTATAAGGGATAAAAACTTTAAAAATATATCAGATGTTACATAGTTTCTGCAAAAAGACTATTTGCTGGAATTGGAAATTTATATCTTTTTTATAGAAATGAATGTTATATTATATGTACGAAACAGTTCAATGAGGTCAATATTTGTACTTAAAAATATATACATATTTTACAGTTTTACAGTTTTATAGTTTAAATGAAAATTTTCTCATTCAATTATTTTTATTATCCTAATTATTTTAAAGGATTTAAAAAAATATATATTTCTATTGAAATAATTTTTGTTCCAAATTATAAAAGGCCGCTAAATTTTTCGTGTTACTTTTAAATACAATTACAGTATAGAAAAAAATTGTAATTTTTTAATAATTTTTGTTCAAAAATTCCAATTTTTAAAAAAATACGTGTAATGCATCCTTAATGCATTCAACTGAACTCTGAAAGATATTTCTTTTACACATACATACACATATACTTAAACGCAACATTAATAATTCGTTTTTAATATGATAGATCTTTAAAAAAAAATTATTTAAGACTTTGAGCTAATCTATTTCTCATTTTAAGCATTAACATCGAAGAGACGAATCGATCGCTCTTGCTTGAACGGCATCGGTGACGTCTTTCGCAGCCAAACCCGGAACCCGGCATCAGTCAAGCCCGGCCGCGAACCTCAGAACGCGACTGCTGTTGCTTTGTGCGCCCAAGGAAACGCCGCCTGTTAACGGCGTTGCCACTCCAAAATTGCGGCAAAGGCGACGCCGGGTGAAAGCGGGAACGGCTCGAGGGCGCGGATGCATTAAACTGGGCGAACTTGCGACAGTCGTGACAAATGGCCGAGTGGCGACCATTCGCGGATGCATACTAACGTCATAATGGAACGCTCTCACTCCTCGTGCGCGCTACCAAAAACCGCCTACCGCATAATTACGGTTCTTTGTAATCTCTCTCGGTGGTCCACATCAGTTATCACGTAACCATCTCCAGCAACTTAAGACACTCGCGGATACGGACAATCGCCCTATATGCAATTATATCTTGTTATGGCCTCTTGTCCGATTTACTGTCGCACACGTTCGTTACAAAGTTGTGCCGCAAAACGTAAAGCAACCGGACGTTCTTTCGTCGCGACAGAAATTATCCGTGCCGGCAAGCGAACCATTCGCGAAACGTGGTTGAGAACTGTTGAGAGAATGGATACACGGGATTCCTTTTGCTGTTCGGAGTTCACCGCGACATGTTGCTACGTTTGGTGGCGTCAGCGTTTTTCCTCTGGGCGGTAACGACGACGAATGACGCGGTAGCGAAGCTAAGCGGCGAGCATGCGGCTTCCATCCCGAGAACGCTAACGTCGCTTCCCGCACGACTCAGTGGTTTCATTTACTCCGCCTCATTTCTCGTAACTCGTTTGCATTCGCGATGATAGCACGAATATCGTTCTGACTCTTGTAGGAATATCGCATCCGTATTTATAACCGTACTATCATATTCATATAAACGCATAGTAGTCTCGTACTATACTGTTATATTACGGAATAAAATATTTGTTATTTATGAAATAAAGAAAGATAACGTGTCATCTGTAAGTAACTATCGCAATTAAAAGTTTTAGATGCATTTGTTATCATGTAATACAGTAATATTAGTGCCATGGCAGCAATATTAGTTATTGAAATAATTAAATTGGTATAATTACAATGTGAGAGAGAAATAATATTTATATATGAGTGAGAGTGCTCTAATAAATATACATAAAAGTTGAATATTCTATAGAATACAAAAATCTAAAAATGAGGTATAAGATGTCTTAAAAATATTTAAAAGACGTCTTAAGAGTATTTTACATGTATTTTATAATAAAATGAAGAATTATTTAAAAATTATAGATTTTTTGAACTGTATTTGAAAGTAATGCAAAAAGTTTCGCAGTCATTTAGAAATTGGGGATTAGAAATTATTATAATAAATCAAAGTAAGGAAAAAATGCAAACCAGTGTAAGCCGACATTGGATAGTGTGTAACATTTATGTATATTATTAACAATAATTGTTATAAACATTTCGATTACAATTTTGGTCATCTTTAGTATCAACGAAATAATAACGAATTCAAATATCGAGCACATTACATTAAATTTCTATACGAACAAGGCGCTTTGTAGAACCGAAGATATGCCGCGAGTGTAAAGTCAGAAGTAAACATTCGTGGATAAAATTTTCAACCGTCTATTGTATTTGGTATACAATACATATTTTTTGAATATTAAAATTTAAATATTAAACGCACAATAAAATATCTCAGTTCCATTTACAAAAAACTACTAAAGAAAACTTATAAGTTTGAGTCAATTGTTAACTACAAGAGAATATTTTCATTTATTACATGCATCTTTAAAAATAGAATAGGATGAGATATGCAATATTGCTCTATATTAAACTACTTCTTTTCCATTCATTATCATCATAAACAATATTGGTCGAATCGCATCGCGACGTCCACCCTCATGGTCGTAGCGACACCGAATGACGCGATATCGGAGCTCTCGCGGCCTGGAAGAGACGTCAGGGGAATAGAACATCAACCCGGTGAGGGTGTAGGCGTCGCGCGAGTCAGTGGCGCTTTTGGCGGCAAAGCAGGGACGGACAGGCGCGAGGCGCCGTACCCGTGCCACCTCAGTCGACGTCAAGCCGTCGCGACGACGCGTGCGTATTCTGTTCTACTTCCGTATCACACGGGACTCGCGAAGATTCGCGTGTTCCGCGCGCGACGTGACTTGTCGAGCGTGTGCCCACCTGTTCGCGTCGACGGACGTGAACACGAAAGGCAGTCCCCGGTGCGTTTCACGACAAGTGTGCCCTCCCCTCTTCCGGTTGACCCCCCCCTCGCTCTAAACAAGTGCTCGCGATTACTCCGAAATCGTCCACGCGCGTAGCTGCGAGAAGTATCCGAGGGTATCGCGAAGAGAGTACACTCATTGACCTGCGTCGCGTTGAGGTCTTGATGAAAAGCACAACTGTTTTCGAACGTCTCGGTCGTTCCACGATAAATAGAAGAATCGCCGGAGGGTACATAAAGTTCTCTGTGCACAACTGACTTGTGTTATTGTACCTTCGTATCATCGTTCGACGAAGAGCACGGCTCTGTTCGGGTGATCCATTAGCCAAATTTCTTTCGTGTTCGACTCGTTTTCGATTCAACGAAGAGATTATTATTGAAGACGAACTGTATCCTCTATTGGTTTGTCATTGCGATATCGTTCTATTTGCGCAGTCATCCTCTCTGCGAAGGACACGACGGTGCTCCGGTAATCCTAGCAGTAATCGAGTAACGTATCGATTGATCCGCAAGATAATCATCGTGGAGGATTAAGAGCAGCTGGAATTCCCATCTAAACGTGATCACATGATTTGTAACGTGCCAATGTGCCGTTGATACGTCGTCTAGTGAGGGCCGAAAGGAGAAATTCGTCCTGAAAGGAGAAATTCACGAAGGAGGCGACGGTGCTCTGGGAAGGTTCGTTGATTACCAGTGAAAAACAGCCTTGGATTATGACTATTGGGTAGGTAGGCTATTAGCGATTCTATATTGTTTTGGGGGTTACAGTAAACGTGGTTGAAGTCGTCCAGTCGATTCGATAAGCGTAACTGCGGACAGCTGTTTGGCTAAACATGTGCAGCGGGAGAAGTGCGAGCGTTTCCGAGTTATTCAGCGTGTCCGAATTCCTACATTCCATATCGTTCTATTAATGTGCGACATGGCTTTTACATCGTGCATTCCCTATGTTCGTCCAACGGTTTCCTACGTGACACGTGACATTTAACAGCGTTTAGCTTACGCTAGCGGTCTAATGTGACTTCAAAGTGGCGTACCATATATTCGCTCCGTTACACATGAATTTCCAAATTTGCATCAATTGCAAATCGTTGTGAATCTGCAGGAACGTTGAGGGTTGGAAGAAGAAAATCAAAATACTCCCTCTAAACATATATTAAAGTAACACTAACATTATATCAATGTTATAAATTCCTATTCGACAATGTACCTAACTGTTACGTGTGTGTACGTATATTATATTACATTTACATTGTGAGTGGGAAATTATAATACTGATGTAATGTTATATTGAGAGAAATTTTGTGATTGAAAATGAACGAACCAGAAAATTCTGATCACATCAATCAAAATTCTGGTTATTTCAACTATTAAAAAAATTATAATCGATTCAACCAGAAAAAAAATTCGGATTTTTATCCGTTCTCAACTACAATTCCAATTAATACAACCAGACCTTTTCCAGTACACTGTTACTTCGTGTTTAGATATCGTGTATATCGATTGCTATCATTTTCCTAATTTTCACATCGCAGCCAGTCTTTTTTTTTTTTTTAAACGAACCGTTGCTTTCTCTGGCAGAAAATTAGTTGACGGTTAAATTCGACGATATCTCGCCGAACACACGCCTTTTCATTCATGAAAATGTATGTCGCGCGTTGCATGCAGGAAAATTATCGGAGCTGCGTGGCGTCGACGATGCGTTTTGCATCACATTATTGTAGGAAAGTTTGATGTAATAAACGAGGAAACGAAATTAGAATTCTCGATTACAAATCGCTGATTGTATGCGAATATCTTTGTTTACACGGGGTGTCACCTTCCCGCGGAAATATTTTGCAACTTTATCGGAATACGACAATTTATATTGAAATTGAACGAATGAACGGCGAGCTGACCTATTGATTATTAGCGTACGGTGTCCTTGAGCTCGCGAAGTGTGTGGAAAAGGCAGCGCGCGCGTTTCGCACGTGTTACTATTATTTCAAGTCTTTAAGTTGTTTGCAAAGGCCCTCATTCTGTCGAAACGTCGCGTACATTCTTTTCTTCCTTTATATAATACTTATTAATAGTAAACGTCGCGCAATTGTTCGTGCAAACGTCGACGTTGACCTTCTCTACTTGATACGAGCGTTCGACGAGTTAGCTGTTACTCAAAGTCGTATCGATTGCGTCGCTGGATCGTTCGCTTCGTTATACGCTACATTAGACCTCGTCACGCGCGGTACACATCGACAATGTTAGAATTATGAATGCGACGCATTCATGAATCAGGCACGCCGGGCATCGGTGATGAACACGCATCTATAAGCCGTTTGTTTCGAAACTGGCATAATTTACATTTCGGTAATCTAGCTGCTGTGTAGTCCCATAAATATTAGTTCATAAAGATATCTGACGGTTAACTGATTCTCTGTTTCTTTCTAATTCAATCTCTATAAAGGCCGGCGTGTGGTAATCAATGAAACATCAGTTAATTTTGTGGAAACGTTCGTAGAACGGAAATTAAAGTGAACACGTTTTGCAATGAAAATCTGTTGCTTTATTAATATATAAAAAACGAAAATGTATTATTAAGAACGTTATTTCGTTTTAATTTATGATTTTTATAATTCTTAAAATCGTATTTCGAAAGTTTAAGAAATATAGCAAATATGAAAACTTTTGTTGTGTTGTTACTCATCGTTAGGAGCTACAACAGACTATTAATAAAATATTAAGCAGTCCAAGATAATCGCAATACTCAAAGTTTCATAGTGAGATCCTTAGTCACCGGTTATAGACGGTATATATGTTACGCTGAATTGTATATATCTACTGACTATAGTCGCAGCACGTAATAGAAGTCGATGAGCTTTTTTGTTTAATAGGAAGTCAATTATATTCATAAATCTTTATTATTTGACATTATGTAGATAATTAAATAGCAACTTTTGATAACTGAATTATATATATTTAGGTTTCTTTTCTCAGAAATAAACAATATTCCGAGGTCAAACCACCTCATGTATTATCATTGATGTCTGTTATATGAGCACACAATATTGTCAAATATTGGTAATGTATTGTTAGCATATTGCTAGCATTGTCTATGCTGGCAATACACAGCAATACATAGAAATACATATAGCGGTACATAGCGATACATCAGCAATACACTTGGCAATTTTGTATGTGCAATAAGTGATAACACATGAGGTGGTTGACCCCTTGCAATATTCTAATAAATTTTATATATTTATATAGAATAGTTCTGATTTTAATACAACATTTACTTCAACTCAAATGTTACTTGTATTTCAATAATGAAAATTTTGTTGATGTAAGAATTAACTTCAAATAGATATTGAAAATTTATGTGAAATTTTCCCAATATCTTCAGAATATAGCCGATAAATGTGTTATAACGAGCACTTAGCGTCGCGTATATAGTCATTACACGTACCAGATAGGGTTAAATCCACGAGATGCGATTCGACGTGTTGAGTCTTCCAAAAAAGACCTCTATTGCATTGTAGGTCGACCGACCTTGCGTCTCGACCGGGCACGTTGCTTTATCGCGGCACGTGATGCTTGTGCCAAAGTTGTGGCAGTCACCACGCTCACCGGTATTGTCTGTGCATAGCTCGCTGCTCGACACCTTCTTTCGATAGTGAGAAACGACACGGCGAAGTGGAAGACCGAATTGTCGTTCGCGGAAGTTCTCGCGCTCGTTCTCGCGTTTGCGGTGCGAATTGAGAGCAGGTCCGCATAGGACGAGCTCAGCTTGAAAGAGCCCCGTCAAAGCTACTATTTTCCCACTTTGTAGACTGAGCACGAACTCGAAGAGGTGAGTACGGGCTCGACGGTATTAGCGAAATGGCGCCAAAACAAGTGGTGTCGTCCTTGTTTCCAACGTGTCTCGGCTCCTTTTTGCAGAACCTTTGCAAGAATCTGAGTTTTTGCTTTGAATAAAAAAATGATTGTTAGTTTGCAAATCGAACTAATTGCTTCGACATAGAAGAATGCATTTATACTAAATACTAAGGCTTAAACTACTTATGCATATATTACTCGTATGCATATATTACAATACACAATAATTTCATACTGATAGAGAATGTAATGGTAGATAACTGATGCGTATAGCACATGAGTACAATTATTTTTATACAGTAAAAAGTTAATCAATTCTTCACTGTGAGATTAATTCTATGAAGTTACTACTTTTTTTCCATCTTTTTCAGTCTTTTTTTTTGTTTCTTTCTGTCTGTTTGCATTAGAAAATTATTAAGAACAAGATGTTCTTCTGGCTGCTATAATATTGATGTTATAAAATAATAATTAGATCAACGTACTACGAGATACGAACAAATTGGAAACATGTTTAGCATTATAAATTATTACCTCTGCAACACTGTTGCATTTATTCTGTAGGTAGTTCGGCAATTACAATTATAAAATTATAAAAGTAAAATATGATAATGGAACATATATGGGTTTAATTTATAAAAAAAATATTTTTTGATAAATATTTTTGAAAAAATATGAAATATTTTTGGGAAATTAGACCAATTAATTCACAAAATAAAAGCGTCAAAAAGTTTTTAAGCGGAATATATGATTACTAATGAAACATTTTTACAATTTAGTGTGCTTATTATAATTTACAAGCAACTTGTAAACAACTAAAAGTACGCAATGCACGCGTGCACGCATATATATATTCAAAATCGTACGTCACAGTGATTAATTATTAGTCTACACATGTAAATTACGTCTATTATTGGTAAAATGTAATTTATTTTTATTGCTTAGCCGATGCGTGAAAGAATTGTACTTCGTACATCTCTGTTTGATATTATGCGTAATAATAATAAGACAGATAGATGATAGTAGTAAACGATATTGAAATTACAGTGAGCAGAGACGTGGAAGAGTAGATAAATGCAAACGCGCGGAAATAGAGGACAGAATCGCATTTATGCTCTAATCATTGACGTATACAAAAGGAAAATAAACTAGCATTATTGTACATGTGGCTTCCAAACTGTACGATATACATAGCTATAATGTCCAAACATTCTTTTATGATTTGCGCTGAAGTTTATTTGAGCACATATTTTTTTATTATCTAGAATTCTCATTTACTTTTATGCATTTAATGAAAAAAACATTGAAAAATGCCATAAAACAAAATATCTAAATAAATAAAATTTCTTTTTAAAACGCATATAAATGTATGTCAGTTTTTACATTATTTCTAAATTTTTTAATTTTTCGTTTAAAATGCAAATAATGTTTAAACTTTGTTATAATTAATTCAATACGAATTGAATTTGAATTGATTAAAATGCAAGATTTAAAAAATGATTTTAATGATTAACGTTAGAATTTCCTTAAAGTCTTAATACTGATACTTTCCAACATTAGAGACATGACAATGGTTGATTACTCTCTATCGGTGTAGTCATATGTCACACACTATAAGGCCATATCGTATGAAGGAAATCCTGCTTAATTGCATTAATAACACCATCGTATCGCGACTATGTTCGGAAATTGAAACTTCTTAGTTCGTGGTGAGCCAAGTGCCTCCTTCAGCGCCCTTCACACCACTGCACCGCCGGAGTTTCTCTTGGGAAGAAGCAAGCGGGTGGTGGAGGCGTTAAAGGCGTTCTCTCTGGCACCTCTATAATTAGGCGCTCGAATTTACCGACCTCTCCGAAAGAAAACCCAGAATAAGTT